ATGATCTGCTTCATAAGCTTCCCCAGCGCCGAGGTTAGACTGACAGGCCTGTAGTTCCCTGGGTCCTCCTTCTGGCCCCTCTTATGGATGGACATCACATTTGCTAAATTGCAGCCAACCGGGACCTCCCTGGTTACCCGGGACTGCTGATGGGAAGTGGCTTGGTGAGCCCTTCTGCCAGCTCCCTCAGTACCGTTGGTTGGATTCCATCTGGCCCCATAGACTTTTGTGTGTGTGTAATGGTAGCTAACCATTTCCCCTTGGATTATGGGGGCTTCATTCTGCTCCCTGTCTTCCAACTCAGGGGGCTGGATACCCAGAGAACAGCTATTGTTACTATTAAAGACTGAGACAAAGAAGACATTAAGTTCCTCAGACTTTTCCTCATGCTTTGTCACTGTGTTTCCCCCTGCATCCAATAAAGGATGGAGATTCTCCTTAGCCCTCCTTTTGTTGCTAATGTATTTATATAAATATTTCTGTTGTCTTTTATGGCAGTAGCCAGATTAAGTTCTAATTGGGCTTTGGCCCCTCTGATTTTCTCCCTGCTTAAACCAATAGTAAATATAATGGACTTACATTTCATACAGTGAGCTCTTGGACTCAGTTTGCTTGCCTTTTTCCTTTTTTTTTTTTTTTTTTTTTTCCCCTGAGTTCCAGGCTGGTCTTCTTCACTGCTTGCTTGTCTTTCAGCACATGGGCATGGCCTGCTCCTGCACCTTTAAGATTTCATTCTTGAAGAATGTCCAGCCTTCCTGGACTCCTTTGCCCTTCAGGACTGTCTCCCAAGAGACTGTCAACCAATCTCCTAAACCGGCCAAAATCTGCCCTATGGAAGTTCAAGGTAGTAATTCTGCTAATCATATTCCTTACTTCTTCCAGAACTGAAAACTATCATTTAATGATCACTATGCTCAAGACAGCCTCCAACCATCACATCACCCACAAATCTTTCTCTATTCACAAACAACAGGTCCAGCGGGGTGCCTTCCCTCGTTGGGTCACTCACCAGCTGTGTCAGGAAGTTATCTTCCACTCCAGGAACCTCCTAGACTGTTTTCTTTTCACTGTATTGTATTTCTAGCGATATCTGGTAAATTGAAGTCCTCCACAAGAACAAGGGCTGGTGATCATGGTGATCTCTTTCCTTGCCTGTCCCTTCTGAAGAGTTTATAGCCATCCATTGCAGCACTCCAGTCCTGTGAGTCATCCCAACATGTTTCCATGATTGTAACTATATAATAGTTTTCCAGCTGCACAATGGCTTCCAGCTCCTGTGTTTGTCGCCCATGCTGCATGCATTGGTGTAGATGCACTTCAGTTGGACTATTGATCCTGCCACCTTTTTTTGGGGAAGAAGCCCTAATAACTACGTGACCGTTCTGAGGTGCTTCTGTGGTTTCTAAAACATCAATAACCCTTGTGTCTTTGCTGTCACATGGATCTCCATCCCCTACCTCCACAGAGATGGCAGATTGAGGAACCTCACTAGCATACCATCCCTCAAGCATTGACATGCCCCCCCAGCTTATCTCTAGTGAACCTGGTTTCCTTCCCCCTTTCTCCCTTCAAATCTAGTTCAAAGCTCTTTCAGTGAGCCATACTAACTCCTGTGCAAGGATCTTTTTCCCCCTTTGAGACAGGTGTACCTGTCACCAGCAGGCCTGGTGCCATGTAGACTGACCCATGATCGAAAAATGCAAAGTTTTGCCAGTGATGGCAGACTCGGAGCCAGGTATTGATCTGCTGGCTCTTCCTGTTTCTTGCCTCATCATTCCCTGCAATTGGAGGGATAGAGGAGAATGCTACTGGTGCATCTGATCCCTTAGCTACTCAGCCTAAGGCCTTGAACTGTCTCTTGATTGCCGTCAGACTTCTTGTTGCAACTTCATCACTGCCTACCCGAAAAATCAATAATGGATAATAAAACAATCAAACCCAAATTATAAAATGGCAGGAACTGCCTAGTCACTTCCCTTATTTAGCGCTAGTGCTGTAGCCTGCTGAATGGTATGCAGATTGAAAAGTTGGGAGCTGATCTCCTGGTGAAGAGCAAATTTGGCCCAACAGTCAGGAAAAGCTTCCTTACCAAGAGCCACCTTGCCCATGACAAGGGCCCTTTTTAAGAGGGAGATTAATTTACATTTGCCCAGCAAATTTACCTTGCTGCTTTCTTTAAATAAGTAAATGGTTGTAAATGGTTTTAACCCGTGGAACAGGAGGAAGAGCCCAACTTTTCTGCATATCTTGATGGTATCTGTACCCAAATGTATCTATAGACCCACGTCTGCATCTCTTCCTGCATTACACTTTAAGGTATAGCTTCCAGTGACTTCTGGAATCTGAGTTTGTAATACACAGATACAGTATTTTCCCATTCTTTAAACCGAAATAACATGAAGTCAGTGCACCAGAAATAAACATGTACGTGTTTGGCTGGATCAGGGCCCTAATCACAAATATAATGTTAAGCTTCTTGGACTCGGAGATATTGGAGGTATTCAAAACCTGACTGGACAATGCTCTGAGCAACCTGCTGTCACTGACCCTCCTTCGACAAGGAAGGTTGAGCTCGATGATCTCCAGATCATCTCAGCCCTTCTGTGACTCTGTGACAGTGCTACCTTTTTGGCAGCTTTCAACTTGCCAGGACGAAGACAGGAAGAATGGAAGTTAAGCTAATTCTTTCCAGTGAGACAGCAGTTCAGTACAGCCCATGGGAAACACCACTGGAAGTGATTGTGACAGATTCAATCCTATCAGGTATTTTATGGGTTCCTGTATATTAATTTGTATAGGTTCAACCAGAAAATACTGTGTATGTCAGGCAATATTCCATTGTTGAGAAATTTTGGTCACATCTTGTGCTAAGGGAGTGATGTGCACTTTTAAATTCTAGCTAAATAAGAACCACATTTGATAGATTTTTATTTTTTTTTTTTTAATAATCATTTGATATGGAGAGTATTCATTCTCTCTTGTATCTTTGTATGATTGGGTAGGGGATGGAAGAGGCCAGAAAGATATGGATTAATTTCTCATCTTTGACACTGGATTGTTGGGGGCTTTTTTTTATGTCATTATAGAGACCACTTTATCTTCTGTGCTTCAATTTCTTGCTCTTTGAAGGTGGCCCTGCCACATCTCTCCATAAAACAGCTCTGGGAACATGGACATTGCTAAGAGCCCCAGTATGATTAGTGATGTTAACTATTGGACAAGCACTAATCAGGCCTTCAAGGAATCTGACAAAAGTTTTTTTACTAAGGTCTGTAACGCAATTAGATGCAGCAGAAATAAGTCTAAAACATTGAGTGTTAAAGTAGTTTCTTTTAAAAAGTATGGCATTGCTAATAGACTAATAAGGGCACTAGTTATTATGAAAAGTTTGTAAACAAGTTGGGTAGAATGTTTTGCAATAAAGTATACTTTGAAGACACTAAAAATCAAGTTGTGTTTTTAACCTTTTACAGTTAATTTGCTAGTGTTACAACTCTTACTGTAATGCAGTTAAGTTCAATACTAATTAATAGAATAGTGTGTTCAGTGTTGTGGAGTTTGATGGGTTTTAGGGAATAAGAGAACATACTTGAATGTTTAACGAAAGAGGAGTTGTGCCTGTTCTGATTTTGGGGGGGATTTTTTGCCAGGCAAGGAGAGTAAGAATGTGATAATTACCACAGGTATACTTAGTCACAATTCTTGCTGGGTTTTCTTTACACTGTTAAAGAGTACTAATCTTCAGTCTTCTAACGGGTTAACTTCACAAGCATACTTAATGTTCTGAAATAGCTGTAAAAGTTTCCATGTGGCCCTGTAGAATTAACTGAATTAATAGAAGATACTGCACTAATCTGTTTTTCTAACAGTTAAAGTGTACAATTCTCATTTACACTAGAGGTTTGTATTAGTGGTTTACTTAAAAAAAAACTAAAATTATATTCATATTGCTAGAGTTTATAATTAATACTATTAATAAGTACAGAAACAGTCTGAAAATACTTGTTGTACATAGATACAATGAAAAGGAATATTCTCCAAGTCCCTACTACAGCTTTCCTAAATCTGGTTTGTATGATTCACAGTAAAAGTGGCAGAATTTAGGAGCACTTATAGAAGTGCCACTTGAATAAGTTGAAAATTTTGTCTATTTAGCTGAAGACAGAATTAGGAAACTCATTTGACTTGTGTTTATATTTAAGATTTATCTATTCAGTGTAGAGAGGAGCTTTACCTGCTGCAATTTAAGGAAATCTAGTAGTGAGGCAGTATGCTGAATGAAACACATCATTGCCCTGAATCAGAGGAGCATATTTTCAATTGTCACTACTACAGTGTGAATATAAGTAATGTAATTTACAAACATTTTGAATAATACAGACAATAAGATCACAGAGCCTTCCAAAAAGAACAGGAAATTAAAAGATCATAATTGTTCTGTTTTTAACCACTACATCCCAGTTACAGCCTTACACAGGTAAACAAAAGCAGAAAAATTATGTAGCTTAGAGCGGTTGGAAAGGGAGAATTCATACAGAGTAATAAAATGTCGCCTGTAAAAGCAGATCTAAGAGGATGCCAGGGAGTATGTGTCTTGCCACATTGCTTAGAGAGAAGAAGAAATTAAGTGCAAATATGAGAGTGGCAAAGCAAGAAGATATAGTTTCATTCTTCCCATCCTCACCTTAAAGACTGATTCTCACTTCCTTTGTTACAAGAAGTAAGCTCTTCCACGCTTAAGCTAATTTTGTGGAGCTTCAAAAGCTTAATTGGCTTTGCTGCATTAACAGTAGGTCATTTCCACATTTTATTGTTTTGAGAAGTGCGGAGCATGACAGTCAGCAACTTCAGAGCAAATTGCAGGGTGGCACGCTGCTGAGAGCCTCTGGGAGCAGATCTTGAACCACAGGCCCAAAACCTGACATTTTTTAAAATTTGGAACTTTTTCATAAAGAAAAGTGCTGTTGTTAAGTGGTTATTTTTTCCTTATCTATTCTCAGGGTTGCTCTTGTGGAAAATATTCCTGAAGGGATCAACTACTCAGACAGTGCACCATCCCATTTGTCTCTTTTCCAAGGCTGGATGAATTTGCTTAATATGGCTGAAAAGTCTGTTGACATAGTATCATCCCAGTGGGACCTCAATCACAGTCATCCATCAGCATGCCAGGTATGTTCTAGCCTAACAAAAGGGTGAGAATTTAACAATCTGTTCTTGGTGTTTCACTATTAATTTTTTCGAACTACAGCCCTTGCCTGTAGCAGACCTATTTGTTTTGAGTAATCTAAAAAAGCATTTTCATACAAAGATTTTCCTGCCAATACAGTAGTTTTCTGAAAGTGATGGCATACTTGGACTAGATAACACATCCAATGCACATTCATATCACTTCCATCTTAGGAAAGGATGTAATCTTAATAAGAAACCTGCAAAATTGTACCTATATTAATACATCTGTAATTTGAGAATATCCATACATCTATACATTTATTTTCTATTTGGTGCAACTGATTAAGTAAAAGAGCAAGCACAGGGATTAATTCTGCAGCCAAATAGATGGATAGAATGACACTTATAAAGAACAATGTAGTATCAGATGATTTCTCATGTCTTTTCAAAATTAATCTTGGGAGGGCGGGCAGTGTTAAAAGATTTCTGCAGTTAATAGGAAAAATCATAAATCATAGTGAATGAGACAGACATGCATTACAATGATATTGTGCCAACAAACACTTTATTCTTGAGATTAATCCTCTTAGAAATATGGTAAGGGCAGGTATGCACTTAGCATCACTTGTGAAACTAAGATATCAAAGAACTGATAGGCTGAGAGTATCTCCTCTTTTCCACCAAATGGATTCTTTGCTGAAAGAAGTCACTCAGCTGATGTGAAATGGGGTTAAAGTGACAATTGGGTAACTGTAAGGAATCAATTCTATTATACTATGTCACAAACTCTTCTCTTTCCTCTCTAGTTCTGTTGATGCTTACAGTAAAAAAAAAAAAAAAAAGAAAAAAATAAAAGAAAAAAAAGAGCCTTTTAGTAGACAACTGGTATTCCAAGCAACTAAAGATAGTACTGCAAATAGCCTGTGCTTTCAAGTCATGAAATGAATTATGCTTCTTTTGAAAGAGGCTGTAGCCCAGTTGAACAGTACACATTAAGTTTTCTTAAGAATAAATCTGCCGCATGTCCCTTTAAAAGAGTGAAAATCTGAGGTGAGCAGCCAAATGGAAAATGTAGTGCGAACCCTTCCTTTTAGAATGCTTATAAATATTGGAATACAGTTTGTGAATAAATTTATTGAGTATCAAAATATTGAGATTTTTCACAAAGTAATTATGCAGTTAAGCTTTATTTAAATTTACTTTGTAAGAGACTTCAAACCCATGTACTATCATTCAAGCAGATGAATTCAAAGAGATAGTGCCTTAGATGTTTTTAGGATGTGCATGAATTGGTATGTGCATGAATCTTTTAAAAACGTTTTGTCTGAAAAAATTCAACATGTCATTTGCTTCAAAACAAGCAGAGCCTAACAAATCCCAAACAGAGGACAAAAATAGCAAACTGGAAATTGTGGTTTCACTAGTTAAGCATCAAATCCATTCACTGTTCCACGTTCTCATGCAAAGTAAAAACTGTAAGATACTGCTGAATGTCAGAGCAGGGAAAGGAAGAAGCTCTTTCATCCTCAGATGCACTGTTAAAGCCAGAAAAAATAAAACATTTTTCATGATATTTTATTCTAGTTATCTATTTCTGCCTGCTACTAGTCTTACAAAAGTGAGTAATTACTTCTGTTTAAAGGCAATTAATATTCCAGTCATTTCCTCATTTGTACAGCACTGTGGGCTGAACAGCTGATAGATCTTTCTGTCAAGCTTGTCTGTTCGTCCTAAAACACTATGCTGCTATTGGCCAATCTAATTGCTGAAGAAATTGCCAGAAGTAGTGTTTCTTAGCAAATCATTGCCCCAGAGCATGTGTGTAAAGCTTGGTGTGGGAAAGGGAGGCGAGAAAACTTGTATCGTTACATCTGCTTTCTCCACTTGTAAATGAAAGTGAATTTGAGAGCAGCTTCGATAACTGTAATTTAGTAATTTTCAGAAATGTAAATCGAATGTCCTCAAGTCTTTACAAATTTGGGTTCAAGGAAATTTGTCCCAAAATAGCAGAAGCATTATGAAAGGTAAGGGATTGAGATGCAAAACTTCCAGGCAGTGTGGTACTTAGTAGTTTCTAGTTGTTCCTTGAATGATTCTTGTTTCATCAGAAACTAAGGACATAAACATTTCCTATATGGACCCACATCCTACTCTATAACTAGCAATTTCCATTTTATGAAAATTCAAGGCATATTGCAATGCAAGGTTCTCTACAAGAGCACTTCTACAGACATGGATTTGTGAAGAAGAGCTGAGTAGGCTAGATTGCTTTTTCTTAATTAGTTACAAGGTTTAGCTACGTTCTCTTTATATGTGTTTGTGTAGTTACGTACACATGTGCATACATTTATATATACATACACATGTATGTCCAATATGTATATTGAAGAAAATTACAACAGGAAATTCTGCAATTTTATATACACACACATACATATATATATATATGCCCAATATATGTATCATCCATATGTATACATATTGTACATTTTGTCCAAATGTATATTGGACATATTTCGTCTAAATGTATAATGGACATACATATATGTATGTATGTGTGTGTATATATAAAATTGCAGAATTTCCTGCTGTATTTTTCTTCATTTTTGTTTGTGGGTATGTTGACTAGTGTCCGTGACCGTTGCCTGTCCATGTTTTGTTGGTCATAAATCTTAATAGTAATTGCTGATTGAACTGTCCAGGTCACAACTGCTGTGCTTAGCTGTCTCGAGTTCATGAGTCTCGTTAAATTGGAGTCTCCAAATGCTACATGATTTGGAGTACATGATGCTACAATGTTGTGTGTGCTTCCACAGCTTAGGTGGTCAAGTAAACAAATATCTGTTTGTAAAAATACTGAGTAGGCTTTCTACACCTGCTTTTCTCGTTCAGAAGAAACCCATGTGTTTTGGTGACAGTGATGTCAACTGTGTGTATTTTCAAGATAGCAGGGTAGCTGTGATACAGTGGCTTTTAGATTTTTTGTGGAACATTAACATATGACTCCTCCTGTTGCAATCAGATGTTTAGAGGACAATGGAAACCTGATTTTTAAGGATAGCTTTTAGTTCATTTGCAGTGAAGGGAGAGCATAAGATCATGACAATTTCATGATTTTCAGAATTCCTTTCCTCCAGCTCATGTCATGTTAGAAACTTTAATTTAGAGTCACCTAAAAGGTGACTCTTTAATTTAGAGTCACCTATTTCCAGCAGGTCTTTCCTCACAAATTTCATTTTAAGTTTAGCAAGTAAGAATGAATGACATCATGGTTTATTGTTATTGCCATAAGTTATGGCACAGTTCTCACTGGATGGCTATTTGAATGATCGAAGGGTAGATCTGCATTTGATTTTTACAATGATCACACAAAAAATAGATGGTTCTGACCATCTCTATTTACCTTCCTATTGTTCAGCTCCCAGATGGGTTGATGAGAGAAGCCTCTCACTTCACCTGACAGCTGGCTTACATGAGACATGTTATCCAGCTTTGTAATGAAATCTTGTGTTAGTCTCAGATATGCATTGCTCAAGGTTCTTAAGTGATTTGATAGGTAGAACAAATGTTAGTCTCAGGGCTTAAGTATGCTTCCTTGACAATTATTAAAATACACAAATAAGCACAAAGAAGATAACTTCTCCAAACCTAACAGCTACCACCAGCAATCAGTTACAATTAGCTGTAGAGATTGCAGTTTATTTTCTTTTCTGTAAGCTCACTTGTACACAAACATCTCTTCAGGTGATAGCATTTCCCTGATGCAGCTGGTATAGACTGAGGCATAGAAAAGATATTTTAAAAAGAGAGCTTTTAAAGTGAAAGCATTTTTTTAAACTCTGACTGAAATTCCAAAAATTTACTTTCCCTCCCTTTTCATTAGCTATTTTGCTAGAAGAATTTGAGAAGAGCATTTGAGTTTCCCTGTTCTGTATTAAATGGCAAAAGTTAAATTTAGAGTTTCTCGATTTATTTGGTCTAGTGGTTTCTGCCAGTGTGCTACAATATTTAGTGATGTTTGATATATACACCCAAAGGCTTGATCACAGGACAACTTTCAAAAATGTTGGTAGAACTGTGTAGAATAAATTCAGAAGAAAATTCTGGAAATAACCAGTTTTATTTCTGTGGAAAGGGAAAGCTAAACATTGTCTAAACTGTAGGAATCTAAGTTACTGAAGAGCACAACAATTCAATTTTAGAGTACTTAAAAAAATACAGCATTTTCGTGTTCGTATCTCCTCTATTGTATTTTTAATGAGGAACGCATGCTGACAGAGACAACAGCAGGCAAGTGAAATCAGCCAGGCTAAAGTCAGTCTGCCTAGTGACTGCTAAGGAGTTGCTTTAGGGGCAATTTCAGAGCCTTTTGCTAAGGTTGGTAATGATAACTTTTTTTTTCTTTCTTTAAAAAAAAAAAAAAATTTGCCAGGTGGCTGTGGCAGGTACAGTTGGGATTAATGTTTCAGATCGATGTTAGTTTAAAGCTGCTATGAGACTGTCCATTTGTTCACATGATAAATACTTTTTACGTCCTATTTTGTCACTTTAAGTAGGCTTTTTGAAACAGCCCTGTGAATAGTATGAGAATATTTTATCAGGCTGGGCAGATTGCTAGTGGTATTGGTTGTTAAAATGCAGATATGGTATAAGGTGGCAGTTTCGTAGCACTTGGCTGCTACTATTTCTCAGTCCTCACAAGCTGGATATATAGAAATTATTCTGATCACTGTCACATGGTCGTACAGCAGCCTGGTATTGTCTCACAAAAGGAATGTGGTCTGAATGACAGCATGAGGTTTTGTATTCAACAGAAGCATTTCAAATGTGCTGACAGCAGTGACAAAACTCTTCAAAATTTCTGTCCTATCTTTTTTCCTTTTCATAGAACAAAACAGTAAAATTCCAAGTAAACATGTCAGAGAGTATAGAATCCAAGTTTCAGATTAATATTAATGGAGAAGAAAGCTAGGTACTTCAACAATGAAGGAAGAATGTCTAGTACCCTATTTTACTATCCTACATACAGATTTTCAAAAGCAAGTTGTGAATCTTTCATAATTGTTTAGTGTGTTTAGACTAAGCCTTGGTGAGCATATGAATGCTGAGGGATGATGCAACAAGTGATGAGATGGAAAGAATTCTCCCCAGTTCTGGCACTGGGTGGTGTTTTTGTATACCTGTATAAACACATATTTGTCACGAGTACACTCCTGGTCTTAACCATCACTATTGGTGAAGCTTTAAATGTTTTCTCAATTTGAGGTTTCACCAGTTATTAACATAATTTGACAGAAAATGTTATTATAAATGCATAGCTTGTGATGTCCCTGATGGGAAAAGAGATGTGTTTTCAGAGAAGCTGTCTTGATTGGAATGCAGAGCCACACTCCAAGTGATCTGTTCACCCATAGGATGGGCCATTCAGCTGGCAGCACGGCCTGTAAGAGACAGCCGGGTGGTCCATCAAGGGTACTGTGTTGGTCACATCAGGGCATGCTAAGATCAGGTAAAACTTGGGAAATGCTACCATGCTCTTTTTTATCCAAACTAAAATTAATACAGAAGGTTCAGGCTTGTTTCTCAAAGCTTTTGTAAATCATATGTAAGTAAAATCTTATGCAGGTAGAACTGAAGTGGTAATAATGATAAAAAATAATTACCTTGGGGAAAAAAATGTAAAGAACCATCTCCTGAAACAATTTATTTTATCAGCTTTAGACATTAACTTTCTAAGCATTTCTTTAACAGAACAGTTAATGCATTAATTTGTATTGATAATGCAAATCACTTCCCATCAAATTTATCAATGGTATTTTTGTATGCTATGGCTTTCTACTCTGCTTCTAGTCAAAATCAGTTTTTACAGGTAAACCAAACAAGAACAGCGTGCCTTTGTTTGTCTTTCTACCTAGTAAATTAAATCAACACATTGAACCTTCCTGAGTAGCAGTTTCTTCATATATATATTTTAATTGATTTATGTATTGCAAGCGTTTTAGTCCTTAATTTTCTCTGCTTGCTTTTTGCAAAGGTAAAACTAATGAAATTCAAAAAGGTGATGTCTCCAGTTGGTGAACCCAGAAGAAATGGGGCCAATGGCTGCCTGAGCTCCGGCATGGCAGGAGTCTGTCACTCCAGGGGAGCTGGGGGTGGGGCAAGGCATGATCTGGGAACTCATCAGACAACAGCACAGTGATTGCAGGTCTCAGATTTGGTTAGAGTTTAACAGTGCCAGTCCACAGAAATTGCAGGAGAAACCCTCTTGGAGGGACCAGGGCATCCAGGAATACCAGTCAGTGCCTCTCTGCTCCCCTAGGATCATGATGGAGCTGCTGTATGACTCTGTATGCAGCATTCGTCCCCTTCCCTCTACTATCTCATTAATTCTTACCTCTGGTAACATCTGCCCCATTTCTCCTTAAAAAAACCCCAAACCACCAGCAACAAACAAACAAACAAAACCCAACACAACCACTGATGTGAGAGTTAAGTATCCTTTTAGCTTCATTATGAATGTGAGAGAAAGACAGTCCTTGACTTGCACAGCAACTCAGTAAGGGCTTTTGAGTGCAAGTTAAATCATGGGTGTTATTTTTTACGAATGGAACTACCTAGTCACCTCAAGAAATGCTGAATCTGAGTATAAGAAGCATTTGGAGCTTCATGCAAAGCGTGTTTTTGTTTTCATGTTCTGTTAGCTATTGTCTAATGCTTTTGTTATGGCTGTATCTTGTTGGCTACTAAGTTCCTGTTTTCCCTGGGATGAGCAAAGAGCTGTGCTGTAGATTTGAGCCAGCAAGCAGGCATATATTACGAAACTAAAACATAAACAGTAGTTCTGTGTTTCCATTGCAACATCTGGCTACTCTGTAATTTTGAGAAAGCTAGTTTCTAGGAGGCTGGGTGGTATTTTTTTGCCACATGTATTCAAAATAAGTGAATATTAAAAAATAGGTCTGTACTGTATACAGCTGAAGAGATACTTTCTGTGACTACTTAATGCTTCAGTCCCTCCAAGGCTCAAAGTGACAACCTGTGCAGGCAATTACAGGGCAAAGGGTGGCTTTCCACTTGCTTGTTGCTTCGAGGTGCAATGAGGAGGAGGGCTTCTGTCTGAGGTTTTGTTAGTCCATGCTGTGTCAGGTTACATCATCCCAAACTGCTTTTATATTGGCCATTTTTGTAGAATAGAGAAATCCCCATTTTTGTAGAATAGAGAAATCCTTTTAAGATTTTTAGAGTAAAAACTTGTACAGAGAATTGTCTCAAATGGAAAACTTTATCTTAGAATCATAGAGTGGTTTGGGTTGGAAGGGACTACCTGTTTGTTTGAAAGTTCACAGAATCACAGAATGTTAGGGATTGGAAGGGACCTCGGAAGATCATCTAGTCCAATCCCCCTGCCGGAGCAGGAACCTAAATGAGATTACACAGGAAGGCGTCCAGGCGGGTTTTGAATGTCTCCAGAGAAGGAGACTCCACAACCTCCCTGGGCAGCCTGTTCCAGGGCTCTGTCACCCTCACTGTAAAGAAGTTTCTTCTCAAATTTAAGTGGGACCTCCTGTGTTCCACCTTACACCCATTGCTCCTTGTCCTACTGTTGGGCATCACTGAGAAGAGCCTGGCTCCACCCTCCTTACACTCGCCCTTTACATATTTTTAAACATTAATAAAGTTGACTGTTGCTTTTTTGTTTTAGCTTTACCTTGGGGGCCAGCATTATATTGAATCTAAAGTGAACTGTGTCAGTAGGGCAGGCACTTTGTCAGCTCATTAAACCCAAAGTTTTTGTGTATTCGACTGCTACTTGTGCTACTTGTGTCTGTACTGTGGTAAGCTACAACAGCAGCAAGGAAACAGGCTCTAACTGTGGTTGTAGTAACACAGCTCACTAGTGGTACATTGGATATGTTATTCTTGACATCATGTAGTCAGATGCTTCTAACTAAGCATTTTCCTTTAAGTTAAATTAAGTTAAAATATTGAATCTAAAACTTAAACCTTAGCTATGCAGTTGGAAGGTCTACTTTTTCTTTGTTTCTTGGATGTAGAAAAATGCAGTGATTTAAAATTTTATTTTTCATGTGAAACAAATATCTTGATTTCAGTTTTAACATGTATCTAGTTCAGTATGAGGTTCCCTTTTTTGTTCTGTGTTAGAAATAGGGCTTAAATAGTAAAGGTATATCAGTGTAAAATCAAAATCATATGGAGAATTCATGTAGATTATTGTTAACCTTCCTGGTGTAGCTCATCTAAAGATGAGCAAACTATCACTTGAAAAGCTATGTTGTACTATGGTTGGGACTACTTACAAAAATAATTCAATACAGGATGAGTGTTATAGTCTTTTATGCAAATTATTTAGAAGAAAGTTAATGTAAAAATATGTTTATGCAGCATAAAAAAAAATGGACACTTCATTCTCTGCGTGTCACCTGTCATGAATAGTATTGCACATTCTAGGAAAAGGAAGATGTAACTTTGGCCTTCAAAACAGTATTTCTCCAAGAAAAAGTTGTTTGAGTTGCTAACCTTTAGGGTAGATTTAGCCATATCTAGGAACATATTTACACAGCTATCGTACAGTATGTTTGTGTTTTGACATGCATCTGTAATTTGTTGGTATGCAGTTTGAACAATTCTATGTCTTACAACTGCTGCTTTCCTTTAATATTCTTTTTTTTTTCATGTAATATTCTCCCCAGGGTCAGCGTCTTTTTGAAAAATTACTCGAACTGGCATCCCGAAATATTGAGATAAAACTAGTGAGTGATATACTGCCCATGGAATCAAAGGTATTAAACGACTTGAAATCAAAGGGTAAGACCAAGGTCTTTATGTTGTTATGCCATGTTGATTGCTACCTAATGTTTCTTTTACTTAAAATGTAGACTCAGATGATGTACAAAATTGCACACTATTGGTTTAGCATTATTGCCCTGTAATTCTGAAGCTTTCTCTGGTTCATAGTCATCAAAAATCTGAAACTCTGTTACTGTAGTTGATGTTTGTAGTTTGCAAGTGGTTAAAAAGGTGGTGCAGTGATTAGATAGCTGCTTAAACTCACTATAGCCATGCTAATGATAGGCAACATAACCTAAGAGATTGCTATCATATCTTGTGGAACAAGATATTTCCCTCTTTTGAGAAATAGCAAAATAAAATAATGAAACAACATGTCTATGGTACTGATGATTCTGAAGCACTGGAAAAATAGACCAGCAGTCAGATTTAGCTAACTGACAAGGTTTTCTGCGCTTTTATGTATTTATTAGTTGTCTGCTTTCCTAATCATTGTTTTGAGGCTTAAAAATCCCTATCCAAGGAGGGGTTACACACAGGCACTACATGACCAAACTTGCTTTATATAAAACTGTGTGGAAAAATAGCAAAGACTGTTTAAGAAATGCTGAAAGAAATTAGAATCTCTTAGGAGTTTTATCAATCTCATGCACACTTCTGAATAATAATACATTGATTATCTACATAATCTGATAAAAGTATGATTTTAAGGGTAATACACATTTTTCAAAGGACAAAAAGAACCTATATATTTTGATGGTGATAATTTTTCACACAGATTACGATACAAATCACAAAGGGAATTCTAAAAAAATGAATTAAGCAAAGCAGTTGCTATATGTCATGGCACCCTAATGTATCATGTCTGTTTATGGTAAATAATAAAGAACACTCTTTACCAATAAAAATCAGTCTTTATTTGTTTAAATTCTCATCTTCTCACTGGGCAAATAAAAGAACAATACTAATGGAAGTCCTGGTTCCTTAAAGAGATCATCTTTTGATCAAGACTGACATGTTATTTAAATATAATAACTACAGAGACTTGTCATTTCATTGCCTATTCCAGGGCTTTGATTATTTCTGTTATGTAATCAAAAGTTATATCAATCCTTGGATAACCAGGAAGAATATATGAGCTTTGTCAGACATCTGTGAAGTAAGAAATTATCTTTTTCTGATGTGTTGAAAAATAAATAGGTCTTTAATATCAATGTCAGTGAAACTGTTTTTGAAAAAAATTGCTTATTTTCCCTATGAGTCTAAGGTCCCAAGTTCCCATGAGTCAGAGGAGATGAGAGGTAGAGCCTGTATGTTTATACTTATGTACCTGGCAATAAATATTTTAATTATCATTTATAGAGAATACCCAATATAAAAAACTATCCTCTTTCAAAAAAAGATAAGCAAACATTTCAGCCTGAAAAAGGAGCTATGTTTGTCATTAACACTTCCTTCAGTTTGTGGGGGAATTAATCAGAACTGTGAGCTTTTTTAACAAACACTCTTTCAAAAAAAGATAAGCAAACATTTCAGCTTGAAAAGGGAGCTATGTTTGTCATTAACACTTCAGTTTGTGGGGGAATTAATCAGATCTGTGAGCTTTTTTAACAAACAGAACATAGGATTTTACAATTTTACTAGCTATAGGCTTTTACAATTTTACTAGCTTCAGTTTCCCTTATGCCTTGTTCAGGTTTCTAAGACAGGAAATATTAGAGTATCCAAATGAAGTGATCAATATATTTGAGTGCTCTGAGCTACAAAGAATCAGAGAAAGTTGCTTTTATATAGTAATTCTTGTGAGTTTTGCTGTCATCATCTTTGAACCCTGTAATTGTAAATATCATTGTGTACTCCTGGGCTTTTTCAAAGATTAATATTATAATTTCTTGATTTTCTCACTATGAATGTTGGTTTTGTTTTTGTGGTTTTGTTGTGGTTTTTTTTTCTCATTCCATGTTTTTGGTTAGTTTAGTTCTACAAATTCTGAAGTTTTTGTTAGAATGTCTCGATTGTGACATGATGATTACCAGCTTTGTTGCAAGTATTTCACCTGCATTTAGGTTTATTTGGTTATTATCTCCAGGAAAGCTAGGAAAATCTTTATTTGGTTTTGCATTCCCAAAAAGAGATAAGTTAGTTTTAACATTCAGTCAGATTTAGTTGTCTGAATTTTATGTTGAAATGAGCAGACCTTGTATGAACAGGAGATTCATGGTACAACTTGCTTGTGTCAAATATAAGTTAACTGGTAGGCTAGCTTAAAAAAAAAAGACTACTCCAACTTCCATTGGTTCAGTAATATTAATAGCACAGTAAATGGAAAACGTATCTGTATTAAACTTTTTTCATGTCTGCTAGAGAAAAAAAAATTACTGTTACCTACTACCATTATCTTAGCTGAGGACAAACATATCATTAAACTTTTCTAAGCTATCCTGTCTACTAAAATTATTAATCTGTCTGCTCATGAGGCACTGGCCACCTGCATCCTCAGAAATAATTCAGAATTGGTCTTTGAAAGGGTACTGTGCATCATCATTTGGACACATATTCATGAAGATGACTAATTTTTTTTTCCCTGCAACTGGTCAGATTTGTCTTAGAAAGTATGCCATGCACCTTGTTTAATAGAAATGTTCCCCCTGTGGGAAAGCAAGCAGTAAATATATCAATAGCTCAGCCACATTTTGAAGCTTCTTGAGATGGAGAACCAGACTATATTTGGCTGAACAGATCCAAACTCCTACTTGCGCTGTCTGTCTGAATTAGGCAGGGGTGCATCCAAGCACTACTCTATGGTTGACCAGCTAATAAACTGAGCTCATTGTTCCTAAGCAGAAAGTATGCTTGGAGCCTGAGCCATAGGCAGTAGCCTGGAGAGAAAGTGCATACATAGCCTGTGGGGCTCTGGGACTTTCCTACGTTTCTGAGCTTGCCTTCTCCTTGATAGGTAAGCATAGGCTAACCTCTTCTTTCCAAGGCACATTGTATGCAAAAGTCAGGCTGTCTTCTGGTAGTGGACCATCCTACTAAGCACAAGAGACAGTTATTATTGCACAGAGAAGGCAGAAGAGCCTTGCCTTTCTTTTCAGCAGACTGGGTCATTAGAACCCCTGAGCTGTGCTCTCACGCTTTCCAGGCTGGTTTCTGGGGTCAGGATGAGGGATAACTTGGGTGTCAACCCCAGGATGTACTTGTTGATATACTGCCCAGGGACCTTTAAGGATGCTGCAGTTCCTCTGCCCGTGATTATCTACCTCATGCTACATCTTCAGGTAGTATGCTCCTTTAAGTAGCCCAGGTAGAAGTCTTAGCCTGGACACAGGGGCATGAGTTTATATGTGGTTACTTGAAGAACTATACTTGGTCATCCATACTGTCTCATGCAGTGGGTTTTTTTTGGTACTAGGAACCATTATATGTTACAGCACTGCTGCATCTCAGCACAGATGTTGAGATTACTTCTGACAGCCAGATTATTCTAGCACATATTTCATTTTTCTAGACAGGCATGTGTGGAGCCCCCATTTCTGAAGTACTATAGAAAGCAGCTTTGATAGACCTTTTCCAGCCCAGGGGTGCATCCTAGAGTCCTCCCTACACATCCTTCCTCTCCAGAAGCCATCCCTACTGATTAACAGAGGAGAGAGTTGAAATCTGGCTTCAGATTTGAGCTGATGGGGTAAGACAAAGCGTAATTTATGTGTATGGGAGAGTAGAAGTGAACTGATGTATAGAGTAAAATAAAATTAGTAATTTATGGTTTCAATGTTAGTACTGATATCTGAGCTAGCTCTGAACCTGTGGATTTGTTGCCACCATTAAGACTTTTTTTGTCATGTCCTTGCTATCCTGACTCTCTTGGGCTAGCTGTAAAACAAGGTAGCTTGATTACAGAAGCAGTCTAGTGGCTGGCAGCGTGAAACATGGATTGATTTACTGTGCTAACACGTAACACACGTAGAGCTGTGGTGACAGGAGTCTCTGAGTGCTTAGATAATGTACATTTGCCAGTAATTGCTGCACTGTGGGAGTGTTATTTAGTTGCAAAATTAAGCATGCAGAAATGAGGAAATACTAGTCCCAGAACATATATTTATGATAGACTTTAATTACATTATCAGATTCTATATTTTGCATAGAATACCTGGCTGGTACTTGCTATAATCTAACCACATTAATCACAAGTTTTTCCCTTGTATTGAATGACAATATGTCAAACATCTAATGCCTAAGGCAGATGATGCTCATTCAGGGAATATTATTTCTGCTGGTAATGGCTAGAATCTTTTTTTGTCTTCATATTTAATGTATGTCTCCAGGCTTTCTTTATTGCACATCTGCCAGATCCTGCACTGAATGCAGAATGATTAATTTCCTCATAGGCTTTTCCATGCTGCTTCTCACTGTGGTATCTGAGTGCCCCACAAATACAGTATTAATGAATTTCTTTTTACAGCATCACTGTTAGGTGAGGTCACTTGCTGTTTGTGTCTCTCAGGGACAACTAGCAATTATTAATGGCAGCACAGGCACCAGAAGCCAGATCTGAGCATTTGTTTTCTATAACTGTAATTAAAAAAAGTGTATTTGTAATTTTAAAAAATCAACCACATGTAAGTTCTCCCAGCTCATGTTGTCAAAATTATTGCTGAACAGGCTATAAATCATGATGTTATTTTTATAGGACCTTTTGCAATATGCAGTCCCAGGGTGTGAAGTCTCACTTCTCTATAGTTAATGTTAAAGCTATATTTCACTTTCCCATATGTATGCGGATATTATACATATATGTATATGACTCTCTTGTAAAAGATAGGTCTGCTTGTAGGCAAAATTTGGCTCAGTGTGTAAACAAACATGCTCTTTGTCCTCCTTGTGCTGTGACAGTAGCTTATTAATGCTTGATTTCAAGGTTATTGTTTTAGCCTTTTCTCAGCTGTGGTTCAGTCTACTAGATTGAAACATTTCTTGTAACCCTCCCACTCCTTGCACAGAATCATGTACTAGTC